GCTGTGTCTTCAGTGCCGCCCTCTTGTAGTGCATTCTTCTGGGGAGGGGGTCAACATAGCTGGGACTTGGGCTGGCCTGCAGACCTTTATGTTAGTTTGCTGCTTCGTGCCGGTATATTGCCCTCGAGGCTTGGTGCCCCAGGTTAATGTCTGGTCCCCTTCTTGCTTTCCTGTGGAGACATGAACAATAACCTCCCCATATGTGGGTTAGATCCTTGTTCCTCCACTGTCCACTTTTTCCTCCTGCCCCACCCCCGCCCCCCCGCCCCTTTCCTCTCCTTTTTCGTTGGCTGCCATATGCATTCCTGGGTTGGGTCTGACCCCTTCCAGAGTGCCTGGACCTCGCCCTCGGGAATTTATACATTTGGTGGCTTTTCCCCTATGCCCCTTTGCTTTTAAGCTTATGTCACCTTTGTACTTGGCTTACCTCACTTAGCATAATTTCCTCCAACTTTTCCTATGTGTCGATGTGTTTCATGCATTCATTACTGCTTTTTAGAGATGCATAATAATCCATTGTGCGTATATACCAGAGTTTTTAAATCCATTTGTTGGTTGATGGAAATTTTAGGCTGTTTCTAATTCTTTGCAATTGTGAACTGTGCTGTTATGAATATTGGAGCACAGATGTGTGGTCGTGGTCTGTTTCTTACTTCTTCTGCGTATATGCCCAGTATAGGGGGATTGCTGGGTCATATGATAGCTTGATTTCCATTTGTTTTAGGTATCACCATATTGATTTCCATAATGGTTGTACATACCTACAGGACCACCAGCAATGGGTGAGAGTTCCTATCTCATCCACATCCCCTCCAATACCTGTTGCTTTCTGACTTTTCGAATTGGGCTATCTTTGAGGGTGTTAGGTGGTATCTCACAGTTGTCTTAATTTGCATTTCCCTTATGCCTAATGATCTGGAACATTTTCTCATATTTGTTGGCCATTTGGATTTCCGCCCCTGTGAAACTTTTGTTCAGGTCTTTTGCCCATCTCCTCAATGGGTTGCTTGTTTTTTTTCTTATTATAGGCTAGCAAAGTATTATAGATTTTAGTAATAAGGCCTTTGTCTGATGTGTCATTGCTAAAGATGTTTTCCCAGTCTGTGGACTCACTACTTTCTTGGCGAAGTCTTTCAATGTACACAGGTGTTTTATCTTCAGTCTATCCCATTTGTCAATTTGTGCTTCCTCTGTGTTTGTGTCCTTCCCTATTTCTGATAGTCTATGTATTCCCTGTGCCAGAGTACTTAGGTTTGTCCCAATTCCCTCATTCTTTGCCCTAATAGTTTGGGGTTTTACCTCAAGGCCTGTGACCCCCCTTGAGTTTAATCTTGTGCATGGAGTGAGGTAAGAGTTTTGCTTCATTTTTCTGCAGGTAGATATCCATTTTTTCCACCACCACTTGTTGAAGAGGGCATCCGCTTCCCATTTGATATTTTTTTGGCCCTTATCAAAGATCAGTTGTCTGTATGCTGATGATTTCATTTCTGGGTTTTCAGTTCTTTTCCATAGGTCTGAATATCTGTCATTATGCCAGTACTTTGGACCACTGTGGCTATATAATAGGTGCTAAAGTCAGGTAGAGCAAGTCCTCCCACTTTGTTCTTCTTGAGGCAGGCAATCAGTTTTTCCAATTCTTTGAAGAAGGATGATAGTATTTGTATTGGGAAGGTATTATAGAGTACCTTGGGAAGGACTAACATATTTATTATATTAAGTCTTCCAACCCACAAGCATAGGATATCCTTTCATTTGTGGAGACCACTCTTGGTTTCTTATAATAGTGTTCTGTAGTTCTCCTCATAAAGATATTTTGGGGATTTTTTGGTTAGGGATATCCCTAGATATTTCAGTTTGTGCTAGGCTATTGTGAAGGGTACTACGTTTTTGATCTCCTTTTCCATGGACTCATCTGATGTATATAACAGTCTGATAGACTTCTATTTGTTGATCTTGTTATCCTGCTACTGTGCCATATTCTTCTATCACTTCAAGCACTCCTCTTGAGGAACTTTTGGAGTTTTCCGTATATAAAATCATATCATCTATGAATAATGTTAATTTCACTTCTTCTTCCCCCAGACAAATACCTTTGATGTCTTTCCTTTGTCTTATGTTGTTAGCTAGGACTTCCAGCACAATGTTAAATAGAAGTGAGGATAAGGGGCGTCCTTGTGTATTCCTCTTTTCAGTGGGATTGTTTCCATCTTTTCCCCATTGACTACCACATTGCTGTTGGATTTTCATATGTAGCTTGTATTATATTGAGGAATTTTCCTTCCATTTCTATCTTCTTAAGTGTCATAAAAGGAATGGTTGTTGGATGTTGTCGAATGCCTTTTCTGTGTATACTGATATCATGTTTTTTTCTTATTCTTTTTATTATCAATGTGTCGAATAATGTTGATGGACTTTCGGATGTTGAACCATTCTTGCATCCCTAGAATGAATCCCACTTGGTCAAGTTGAATTATTCATTTTATAAGCTTTCGTATTCTGTTGGCCAGTATTTTGTTAAGGAATTTTGCATTGATGTTCATTAGAAATATCGGTTTGTAGTTCTCAATTCTTGTGGGATCCTTGCCCACTTTAGCTATTAGTGTTATGCTAACTTCATAGAAAGAGTTTGGGAGTTTGCCATCTTTTTCTGTGCTCTGGAAGATTTTGTGTAGGATTGGTATCAGCTCCTCCCTGAATACTTGGTAGAATTCTCCTGTCTGACCTGGGGGGATTTTTTAGATGGCATTTCCTCAATAACCTTGTCTATTTCCTTGTCTATAACCTTGTCAATACTGCTTTCAGTCTGTTGAGATGCTTCACTGCTACCTGGGATAGTCTAGGAAGGGATTAGTTTTCCAATTATCTGTCCATGTCTTCCAAGTTGTTGAATTCATTGGAGTACAGGGCTTCGTAGTACTGTGTAATTAGTCTTTTAATTTCATTAGGGTGCATTGTAATCTCTCATTTCATCCCTCATTCTGTCTATGGATATTTGTTCCATCCTTTCTTTGGTTAGATTTGCCAGTGTTCTGTGGATTCTGTTAATCCTTTCAAAGAACCAGCTTTGGACTGCATTGACTTTTTGCATTATTTTCTTGTTTGCCCACTTGGTCATTTCTGCCCTAATTTTTATTACTTCTTTTCTTTTGCTATTAGTAGGATCGTCATGTTGACTTTGCTCTAATTGCTGGAGATTTTGTGTCAGCGTATCAATCATAAGTCTCTTCACCTTTTTCATGTGTGACTTTATTTCTATCGAACTTCCTCTGTTAACTGCTTTTGCTGTGTCTCAAAGGTTTTGGTATGTTGTATCTTCATTCCCACTGGTTTCTGGAAGCTTCCTGATTTCATCTCTGATCTGCGTTAGTACCCACTCATTTCGCAGTAAAGAGGTATTCTTCCTCTAATTGTTTGCTCTTGTTTTCTTAATCATCCTTTTGTTAATTTCCAGCCTTATGGTGTAGTGGTCCATGAGGGAGTCAAAGAGATCCTTGGCTCTCTCTTTTTGAGGCTGGTAGGAATGCTTCTGCGGGCTTCCTATGACCAACTGTGCTGGGGTGGGTGGGTGGGTGTAGGGTGTTGGGCTACTTCTTTATCTCACTAGGGCTTTACTCTCCTTACACAGCCAGGATTCCTTATTTGGAGGTCAAGTCTGGTGGCCTTCTCTAGGCGCAGATTGTTTATTACTGTGTACTGTACATGTTCAGAGACTATAATGGTCTCATCACCAGTGATTTATTTGTTTTAAAATATCAGTCTTTCACATCTCTGATACAGCCAGTTCTTTGGCAAACTAGAAACAACTAAAATTCCTATGCTCAAGTGCATCTATATCTTGGTGTACTCTTCAGTAATAATAAAAAAAAATTATTGATACATCCAGCACTGTGGGTGGATCTCCAGAGTTATGCTGAGTGGAAGTTTTCAATCTTATAATGTATTGATTTAGTTTACTCTCAGAATGACAAAATTATAGGGATAGAGAACAAATAAGTGATTGTCAGGGGTTAGGGATGGTAAGATTGCAAAAAGTGGCATGACTATAAAAGGGTAATGGGAGGTTTAGCTTCATGGTAAAGAAATCATTTTGTACCTTGATTGTGGTGGTGAGTGGGGATTTGTAAATTTGGAATGTATTATGAATATATTTTGGGGAGCAAATTTACATTCCTTTTGGTTTTTTGATTTGGCTAATATCCTGCATGTAAACTCATTTAATACATTCAAGCTAACCATAGAGGTGGTTAGTCAAAATAAAGCTGAGCGGTCAAGGTAAACACATCTGAGATTTAAAATGTTTTCTGGATACTGTCACATGAGTTTTATTGGTTTTATGCCCCTTCCTTAATACACCCCCAACTCTTCTTGATTTAAGTCCTTGGTGACACTTTTAAAGGGATGGAGACACAAAGTTCTTGGGTTTTTAACTAATTAGTTTTTTTCAAAACAGCTTTAAAAATGATTGGGAGCAATGCCTGATTACAGAGGCAAGCTTAATGTAGCCATCATGTGTTCAGGCAATACCTTTATTTGGTATCAGTGTGGCAAGTCTTTAAAAGATTCTTTTCTGAACATGTGGATTAAGGGCACTGGGCATTCCTTGACTCTGCTCCCAACAGCCTTGGTGAGCGGTCAGTGTGAGCACTAAGGAAGACAGAAGCCGAGGCCTCAGAACCTCTGTCTGGAACTCAGGCTAGATTATGCCATACCAGCAGCCCTTTCTCTGGTCATACTGCATGGTGGCTCGCTGGTCCAGGATGTTCCTCCTATGCCTTCGTTTTTGCTGATCTTGCTCACTTGTGATGCTGGGGCTATCCTATCTGCGTTTTTCTTCTTTGTTTTAGATAATGTGATCCTAGCTTCCATTTGATCAGGGTGTTTGAAGGATTTTGCTGGTCTATTTTGTTAAATAGTTGTGATTGTAAAATGAGAATAGCTTATTCCCAGTGTAGTAAGAACTACTCCTTAGCATACCTTGTCCAGAATGTCTCACAGTATGTATGGGGGTAGTGGTGGTTCAGTGGTATAATTATTGCCTTCAACGTGAACATCTCAGTTCAATTCCTCACCAGGATATCTCATGCATAGATTAGGTGTTGCTATGATGCTGATCAGGTTTCATTAAAGCTTTCAGACTAAGACAGACTGGGAATGAAGACCTGAAAATCAGCCAATGAAAACGCTATCATTCACAGTGGTTTAATCTGCAACCCACCATAGGGATGGCAGAGCCCCACATAGCATTTCCTTTGGTTTTGTATGGAGTCTTCCATACGTGAGTCAGGGGCTGGCTTGACAGCAGCTAAGAACAACAATATGTGTATGTGTACTGGTTTTGCTCTATATTCATGGAAAACATTATTAATAAAATACCCAAACATGAAGCTATTATTTCTTGACAGACCCTCCATCTAGATCCAGACATATTGAAAGTTAGTGTATCCACTTCTCTAACCCTTCTCTGAAGAATTTGCTTTATACCATGTCAAAATGACAGTTGTGGCTTCAAGGGACTCAAATTGTGCATCTTTGAAATGTTTTGGGAACAAAAAGAAGTCTGAAAGGGCATGCTCAGGGCTTAAAGTGGATGGGATAAGATTTCCCAATGCAATTTTCATAGGACAGCTCTCGCTACCCTTAAAGATTGAGCAGGTGCATTGTTTGATGGGAAAATTTCTTTGCACAACCAGTGCAGTTTTCTATTTTCTTAAACTTCGTCATAAATGCCCCTGTGATTGTCCTGTACTTCTTGAGAAAATCTACCAAGATTACCTCTTGAAATCCCCCCAAAACAGTCAGCATAACGTTCTGAGATGACCTCTCTCCCTTGAATTTAACCACCCAGCAGCAGACTCTCATGGAAACCACTGTTTTCATTGAACACTTTTTGGAAGGTTCTCTAACAAGACTAAGGAAAATGTATTACTGAGAGAATTTGTTGGCAGCCAAACACTGATCGTAGAGACATGTTACTCATATATGAATGAATGGAGACCCTCATAGCAATTCTTTATTCCCTCCTGCATGCATTTGCTCATCTTAAGTGGAATTTACTATTTTCTAATTTCTCCACATCTATTATGATTGTTCCACTTCCTAGATTAATCTAGGTTAGTATCAGGAGATTAATATCACAGAGGTTAATATCAGGAGACATGTCAGGCCCCATGAGCAGATACTTTAGGCAGTCTGTTTTCTGATACTGAATAAAGCAAAAAGTCCCTGAACTAGTGTTTGTATGCTTGGTTATATCAAATTTATATCTATAATAATCTTTGGAGGCACCATAAAAACTGGAAATGACTAGTTTAATTACTAGAATAAATTGGGTTAAATCTATGAAATTTATTGGCTATTTATCACACACATACTTTTAAAAACAATAATTTTATTGGGGCCTCTTACAATTCTTATCACAATCCATACATACATCCATTGTGTCAAGCACATTTGTACATTTGTTGCCATCATCATTCTCAAAACATTTTCTTTCTACTTGAGCCCTTGATATCAGCTCCTCATTTTTTCCCTCCCTTTCTCACCCTCCCTCCCTCATGAACCCTTGATAATTTATAAATTATGATTATTTTGTCATGTCTTACACTGTCCAACATCTCCCTTCGCCCACTTTTCTGTTGTGGAGAAAAGACATACATTTATCTCTTCAAAGCTCTGGGGAGGGACAAAGAAAACTGGAAATTAGAGTTTTAATGTGAAATCTTCCAATATTTGAATTTGAGCAATTAGTTCAAACCATTGATCTGTAGGCCAGCCCTGCCTCCAGAGAGCCAGGACAGAGAAAACAAAACCTTTCAGTCTTTTGGGTCAGGGTACCTGGAGCAGGGGAGGGCAGAGACAGGAGTGAGACCACTAAGATTCAAGAAGATTCAATGAATCTTAGAGGCTACCAAGCCTTTTCCTGGTTATGGGCAGAAATGGGATCTAGTGCTTCCTCAAGGATGTCTGCCCCAATCAACCCAGGCACAGTGAAGCAGGTGAGTGGGGGAGGGGGCAGTCACCTCTCCTCACATAGAGCAGAGAGGAGGAGAGAGTCCGCGC